GGTGGTTAACCTTTCTAGTTTTCTCTTGTGGAAATGGATGCCAAAAGAGGTTGACATGTGTGTTAGGCTAGGTTCCCTAGAGAAACAAAACCAGTAAAGCTTATATATACATATAGAGAAAGAGAAATTTATCTTAGGAAAATGGCTCACACACTTATAGAAGCTGGCAAGTCCCAGGTTCTTGGATCAAACGTCAAGCTGGAGGCTTTTCCTGACTCATGCAGCCTCAGGGGCTGAGGAGCTCAAGGTTGGCAGGCAGTGTACTGGCTGTTGACTCCAACGAATGACGAATCCAAGATCTCCAGGCCAAATGGTGGATTGCTCGCTCACAGACAGTTGTAGGCAGCACAACAGGATCCCGATCCACAGAAGAGTGTCTCTTTACCCAGGATGTCCACAGATATACTGGAAGCAGGCCCCACCCCTAGGGAAACACCCTTTCGATGGATTGGCTGCTCAAAACATATACATCCAATCCCATCATGGGAATCACCCACATCCCAATTGCTTAAACCACACAGAACTGTGGTCCAGGCAAGTTGACACACAGCTGCAACTCTCACAGCATGTCCTGGGACTAGTGAGTCAGACAGTAGACGCTAGAGACCACGTCATCTGGATCTGAAGGAGCCCATGTGTTTTCAGCCTCATGGAGCTGCTCTTGAACGCTGCATGACTTTCCATCACAACGCAGCCACATTGCCCAGGAATGCCACATCCATCCCACGCTGGGTCTCCTGTCCTTGGAGGACCCACACAGCCTTCTGCCCCCACCTCCTGTGGGTCACTCCTGCTGCTCCCTTAGGACACAGTTGGGTGTCCCTTCCCCAGGAGTTTCCCTGAGACACCCTTCCCCACTCGGAAGCTTAGCACCAGTCTGGGACAGGGCCACGCCCTGTTGCCACAGCTGCCTGGAGTTCCGTGTGATTGCACAAAGTACACGCCTGGTCCTTGTCTTCCCACTGCGTTTCTCTCACCAGACACAAGGTCCTCGACAAGACATCTTAGTGCTTATGTGTTTGGGGGTCACCAGGGCCTGGAACAGCAGAGTAAACAGTAGACACTCCATCCACACTCAGTGACGGGGCGGCTGTCTGCGTGCCAGCAGACAAAACCCACTGCCATCGAGTCAATTCCAACTCATAGCGACCCCCATTGGGTTTCCGAGGCAGTAAATCTTTATGGAAGCAGATTGCCCAGCCTTCCTTCTGTGGCTCATGGGTTTGAACCACCAACTTTCCGGCTAGCAGTCACATGCCTTAGGCACTGCGCCACCAGAGCACTGTTCTCTCCGATTCTTGTTCTTTGTCTTTGTGGGGTAGGAATCAGAGACTACGGTGCCCATCTGCTTCACAGGGACGTTCTGGCCTAGATTACATAAAGCACATGGAAGAGTTTACACAGGTTGTCCCCGACATACAGCAAGGGCCGTTCCGGCTACTTCTGATGAAAGTTGAATACCTCTTTTATTATTATTATTTTTACTTTTATTTTTAATTGGATCTTTGAACATCTGTGCATGAACCTCAAAGAATGATAATATCAGCCTGTAGTGGGTAACGCACTGGGTTGCTATCCAGGTCGGAGGTTCAAACCCACCAGCTGCTCGGTGGGAGGAAGGTGAGGCAGTCTGCTTCTGTCAGAATTTACAGCCTTGGAAACACAGTGGGGATCACTGTGAGTCGGAATCAGCTCAGTGGCAGTGGGTTTTGGAGTTAGCGATATATGTGCAGTAGGTATCATTCCATTACTTAAACAGATTTTTTAAATTATCAGATTTTTTATACTTTTGTTCTGTAGTGTGGTAGTGGGTTCATACACTGACAGGTACCTGTTCCTTACCATTTCACAGGAGACGCAAGCGGGTGGGCGACCCTGTTTGGCACGGTCCATGGAAGTGCTAATGCTGTGACCTTCACACAGGAGTGCTGTAAGTGGTGTTGGCACAAACACTCGGTGTCGGCTTTACAAACAGATCTGTGGTATGTGGGTTTATATGGATAGTGTGACAACTTCTCTTTAACCCAAAACCAAATCCATTGCTGTGGAGTTGATTCTGATTCAGCGCGACCCTGAAGGACAGAGTGGAACTGCCCCACAGGGTTTCCAAGGCTGTCAGTCTTCACAGAAACAAAGCCCAAACCACACCCACTGCCCTGGAGTCGATTCTGACCCACAGCGCCCCTAGAGGACAGAGTGGAACTGCACCAGAGGGTTTCCAAGGCTGTCAATCTTCACAGAAGCAAAGCCCAAACCACACCCACTGC